AAAATGTTCATTGTGGTAAACGAAATAATAATTTGATCTAAGCAAGAGTTTTTTCTTCCTCCCGATTTGTACAAAATCCTTACGTGATAAAAAAAAAAGAATATTATTTTCGAATTCTGAGTAACTGAATTATGGAAAATTCGTTATCAAAACCAAAACAACTTTTATGAAGTATAAGTTTGCAGGCCTGTGTTATTTATTTCTTCTCTTCCTCAAAACGTGAATTTCAGTGAAGAAAAGAGGACGTAGAGACCTAATTTATTCTTTGATTCGCTACTTCCGCTGCAGCAGACTAGTTTCGTCGAATTCACGGCTTATCAGCGCTGCTTGGAATAGCGAAGCAGATAAATAAAGTAGGCCTCATATAGTGGTGGAACCTAACTGGTTGATTTTGAATGAGGGCATGGTTGAATGTGAAGAAAAAGCTGGCAGTGCCGTGCTCATTAAGATGTCGAATTCATTAATAACGAAGTTGGGTTACTTTTATGAAAAACACGACTTTTATATACTTAAAATAAATCGTTTATCAGGGAAACTTTTCCTAAAGAAACCAAGACATTTAAGAAATATCACTACTTGTTTTCGAAAAATACACTAAAAATGATGTGAGCCTAGTTATAAAAAATACACCTTTTTCAGAAGATAATACATCAGCATTAGCTATAGTTTATCACGAAACAGACAAACAATTCAAAATCTCAGTACCAGACTTCTAAACACAAATATATTACCTTATTTTGTGCTCACATATAAATAAATGTACGCAAAGAAGTACATGTACAGAGGTTAGTATGTAGGCACAGTCGTACACAACTATACAGGTAAGCACGCATATTAATACACACACACACACGTACACACAAATATATATATATATACAGAGATAAGTATTTGCACACGGATAAATATAAACACACTGGTAAATATACGAAGGTTCATTGTCACAAAATTTTATGCGGATAATATGACTCACATTGTGTGCATGGATAATCTTTAAAGATTTGACTGGTTTGTCATAAACTTCCTTATCCTTTTGAAATGATGTTTATATTACACATTGCAAGATACACAAGTTTCACTCTTTAGGGTAAGTAATTATCCTGGTTATCATTGGAGTGAAAATTATCCTTCTCAAATAACTCAAAACCTTACTTTAAGAGTTTCAAAATAGCATGAGCTTGGTTGACGTCAGAAGGCACTGTACGGAAAAAATACTCGTATTTTTCTTTGTTGCTCAGTGTCGGGCTAGTCGATTGGTAACTGATCTGTATACAAAGAAACAGAAGAAGGGTAAAGAGAAGGTATTGAGAATACATATCCTAATGGATTTATATAAAGTTTTTATGCAGGGATATATTGGACCTAAAATTAATTTTATAATTCTAGTTCACAAAAGTATATTATTTATTGTGGAAAGTTGCTTAGCCAGAGGTTAACAAGTATTTTCTGTGATCATTTCTATACGCGGTTCTCTTTAATCCAACGGGTATAAATTGTTTGCATTTAAAAGGTATGATTTTTTATTATGAAAAATTTATATTCTAAATTTCACTAAATAAAAAGTCTTAAGTGACATTTAAATTACCCGTATGTTGCTCGATAAAGTTTTTCACCTTTTCACGTCGTCACAAAATTGTAATATTTACCATGAAGTGAGTGAAGCTTTTATAGCTTGCTACGTAATATATTTTTTGTTCGACAGGTTTCAGATGGTGTTAAAATAAAGCATAACAGCTACCTGGGGAACTTGAAAAAGGCGGAGAATGTTAGCTAACTGGATGGACACAGAACTGGACCGTCCACCTATTATGCCCATCATTCGGTCAAAGCTGCCGTCGCTAAACCTTGGCATCGACCCATCATGGCATTGAAATTCTTGTTCACCACTGTTACTTCTTGCGATAAAGCCTTTAATGAAGTCCAGACTCTGTTCTAAAGCATAGGTGGCGCTGTCGCATGTGTCCAAAGCGATAACACCAAGCTTCACCCCAGGAAGCAGCTTCGGATTTTCGTTGATTTTCTTCAGAGTAAATAAGAGAGCCTCCAACTGTTGCAAACCTTCTTCCTATATAGATAGATAAACATGTGCTATAGAAAAGATTTAGCTGTTTAAAATGTGGTGAACCATAAATCATTCAATTCAAGAAACCCAATTGATCTCATGCGTATTTTACACTGTCATGAATGATGAATTAGACGGTGTTGTTGAGAAATTCATCAGAATATTAATTCTAATGAACAACCAAAACATCGGAAATATGTTTTTATAGCCAGTAATCTAGCGTGATCTCCATAAGAATATATAATTATCTATAAACATACAATTGATTAAACGATTGTTTTTTTTTAAATTAATTACCGTGCCATTATTGTCAGTTCTGTTATTACGGGAACTTTTCATTCGTACCAACAGTAATCTTTCTTTATTTAAGATATTTTTGCATCTTTCACTTTAGAGAAGAAAAAATATCATAGTTTTTAATGATCAAGGAACGTCAAATACATTTCTAATGACGTGTTTTCTCTAATTAAAACTGTTTATTTTAGTAACTAGCATACCTGGTTACTTTTTGTTTTGTATTCTATTTGGATTACACTTCATGAAAAGTATTTTGCAACTGGAGAGTTACTTTATTTGACATAATAGCTAAATGGGCACGTTTGAAATATCCAGGTTCCAGAACAACCGTGTCTTACTTAGAATGGCCGAAGCGAGGAAGGGTAACAAGTCAGCAGTTCCTCCTGTCTACACAGTTACTCTTCAGCGAATATCGAGACTGACTGTCATTTTTATAACGCGCACACACTTGAAAATTCGGAGCATGTTCAGCTACATACGCGGACTAAAACCTAGGACCTTCTTATCCACAGACCAACACGCTAACCACTAGGGCATGGCCGCCTTATGAATATTTGAAGTTTCTTGCACATAGGTATAGTGACTTCTAAAAACTTCGACATCAACAGTCTCAGTTTATCATCACAGTTTCAATAATGTTAAGAAAATACGTAGATTCAAAAAAATCAGTTAAAGCCAAAATGAGAAACCTTATAACCATTTTGCCCCTGACGAAGAAAGGTCTACTTTTCAAAAGCGGGTTAAAAGGTTTCTTATTTTTTCCTCAAATTTTAATAATTGTGTGGAAACAAACTTACCTGTAATCGATCGCATTCATGATTCCGGTTGCTACGCTCATGGATCGGAAATAAAGCTCCTAAGATGATGTCACCAGAGACATTCATGCTTCTATAAACTGGCCTTGTTGTAAGAACGGGATGGTGCAGAAAGCTAAGAACAATTATGTAGAAGAGGGTACAAGTCTCTGCATACCACATTATCTTTGAAGTCCAATAGAAACTGTGGAAATGAGATGTACATGAAGAAAAGTTAGAACGAAATAAATTGTTTGTACAATGTGAGAGTATATACGCTGTAGAGTAATAAAGGAAGTTATATAAACATTGAGGAAGTGAATATTTACTGATGCTAAATATACAAATGTACATGAAGAAAAGTTAGAACGAAATAAATTGGTTGTACAATGTGAGAGTATATGCGCTGTAGAGTAATAAAGGAAGTTATATAAACATTGAGGAAGTGAATATTTACTGATGCTAAATATACATATTCATATTTGTTGCATAAGTAATTTGTTGTATATGTTTAACTTAGGGTTAAATATATACATAAATATAAAGCATTTATTTGGATTATCGTTAGTTGTAGATTTTTAAATTTCAAGGCATATTGTAGAGTATAAACAAAATTTGTTAATTTCAAATTTCCAAAATTAACTTTATTATTGTAATTTTCAGCCTAAACAGCACCGAAAGCTTACGTGAGCTAAACGGCCACATCAGCGACCCTGGGTTCAAATATAACTATTCCTAATTTTAAACTTCTGACCAGAGGGAAGGAAGGAAGCAAGTTAAACATATGCATAAATTTATTGATGCAACAAGTACGAATATGCACGTGTTGCATCAGTAAATATTCACTTCCATTAATTTTATGTAATTTCCTTCCCTATTCTACTAGAGCTAAAAGTATGTATAGAAAAAAAAAGATGTAGTAACGAAGTCAAAGTACATATGAACTTGCAAAAGTAAAAAACAACAACAAAAGGAATATAAATGAACACATGCACTCAAATATACAATTCAGATGAGTTCATAAGCTGAAGAAGAGTTTTGTTTATGTTTGTTTGAAGTTAAGTATTAGGTCGTCAAGAAATTAATGTCACGCTTTGGAACACTTTCATTATCCACCCCCCCAAAAAAGTGCATCCCGTATAATAGTTAAACGAACCGCCTAAACGTCACGTTAGTGTAGCCTA